ACCTGCCAGAGTCTGCAGATGCCTCAAAAATTGCGAGGGTTTTCGGTCTCCGAGCTCTTCATGATGCAACAACTGTAGTACTTTTTTTTCTTGAGAAGCCGACAACCGTTTAATCAATTCCGTTTTTAATTTTAAATATCTGTTTTCTGCAGGCGGGTTATTAATTATATCTTTAACTTCCCTGGCATATTGCTGTTCTAGGGACGACGATATATAGCTATACTTCGTTGCATCCTGTGTGATTCCTGCTAATGCAAACTGATTTTCCAGCTGAGAAAACCAGAGTGCAGGTTCCTCCGGCCAAAATGGTGGCACTCTTATACTTATTCGAGCTACCTCTTGAACTGCTGCGTTTTCCATAATTTTAGGCTCCAGCGTATTCTTTTCGGGGTCACCAATATGTTGAGAGCACTTACAGGTAAGTAATACTTCACTTTTTATCACGTAGTTTTATTAACCATCTACAATTTGCAATTGCGTATTTTATGATCTGTAAGCAAGCGCGCGTGCATTCGCCGTGAATCTCGTTTTCGCTCTGGCGTGGCACGGTCGCAGCGATGCGCCGGCGTTGCACCAGCTAACCGGTCTTAGCCTGGCCGCGGCAACACAATAGATTGCGTTAACAAGCGTTTGCGCGCGGGTTTGCTTGTACAATTTATTTTATTACTATTTTATGTATAGTATATGTGTGTATGTATATATGTTTGATTTAGACGTATGTATACATGATATTTGTAGTTATTTATTTATTTATTATTATCTATATATATATGTATAATTGTTTTTGTGTATCTACTAGCATCTATGTACATTTCAATTTGTTATACACTAACAATTAAGCAAAATAGTAATTAGAGTCCCTACATACCTAAGTCTTTCAATTCAAATTTTGTGACTAAAACATTTTTGATTGTGTTTAGCGTTTTTGAACATGAGTAAGCAATGAGTATGTCGTCTACATATATAGCAACTATGATTTTCACTCCTCCTTTCGCTAGTATGTAAATGCATGGATCTGCTTTCGATGGTTCAAAATGTAATGCTTTCAGTTCATTATCTAGTTTTATGAACCATTGTCTTCCAGATTGTTTTAACCCATATAGAGCTTTTTTAAGTAAACAAATCTTTTCATTATTATCAGATTTTAAATCTTCAAGCATTTTCTTAGCTTTATTGTATATTATCATGTCATTTTTATCTATTTCGTCTATCATAATTTCCATTAAATATTCTTCAAGACAGTCAGGAATTTTCATACTTATATTTTCATCTAATTCGCCATTTAAATAAGCAGTAGTGACGTCCATTTGATTAAGTTGTAATCCTTCTTGTACAGATAAACTTAGTACTGATCTAATTGAGCTTAATTTGGCAACTGGAGCAAATGTTTCATTATAGTCAATCCCTGGTCTTTGGGTAAAACCTCTCGCTACAAGTCTTGCCTTTTTTATTTCTGTATCATTAGGACACATTTTCTTTTTTAATATCATTTTATGATCAATGACTTTTGCGTCTTTTGCTTTTTTCATTATCTCCCATGTACCATTTTTTACATGAGCTCTGATTTCAGCTTTTATGGCGTCACGCCAATCCTCATTTTTTTCTTCTTCACATAGGTATGTCATTTCATATATATTTTCATTGAGTTCTTGTATATTATTCAGAACGTAATCATTATATCGCGATGGTAGTCTTCTGCCTACGCGATGTATGCATATTATCTTGATTAACTTGTGAAGTCTGATTGTCATCTGTTTCATTTCGCTCTTCATCACTTGTTGAGATCTCTATATTTGATTGTGTATGTTCATTAGGTATCTCTAATATTGGTGTGGAGCTGGTAGACGGTAAAACAGGTAAGTTTTTATTATTATTATTTATATTTTCCATTTCAATAATTATATTTTCATTTTTATTTTCAGGTAGGAGTTTTTCTTCGTTATTGAAGATATCAAAGTCATCACTTGTTTCACTTTCATAGTACATTTTATTTATGAATTTTACATCTCTACTAATATTTACTTCATTTTTATTTGGTATGTAAATTCTGTAGCCTCTTGAACTTTTAGCGTATCCAACAAATACTCCTTCAATTGCTTTCGGTGAGAACTTTCCCTTCGTTTCTTTATCAGAACAAAAGCTTTTGTACCAAAAATGCGTAAATGATTTGCTGACGGTACTCGTCCCATCCATTTCATAAACGGTGTTTCTTGTTGTAAGGCTTTAGAAGGACTTCTATTTATAAGATAGTTCGCTGTGAAAATAGCTTCTGCCCATAACGAATTAGGAACTTTTGATGCTATAATCATGCAACGGGCTTTATCGAGTAGAGATCTATTTTTTCTTTCGCTTACTCCATTTTGTTGTGGCGTATATGGTGTCGAGAGTCGTCTCACGATGCCATTATCTTTTAAGAATTGTTCAAATTCTTTTCCACAATATTTTGTTCCGTTATCGGATTGTAATGATTTGATCTTTTTATTCCAAAAGTTTTCTACTTTATTTTTATATTCTTTAAATATTTCTAATACTTCATTTTTTTGTTTTAAGAAATATATGCAACAATATCTAGTATAATCATCAATAAATGTCACAAAGTATCTGGAACCAGCCAATGATTCATGTGGCATAGGCCCACAAACATCCGAGTGTATTATTTGTAGAGGTTCATTTGTTTTTATAGCTTCATGACTTTGGAATGGTAGCCTGGTCAGCTTTCCTTTTATGCATGTTTCACACGGGTCTAGTTTTCCATTTGTCAATTGTATACCTCTTATCAAATTTTCTTTGTGTAAAACTTTCATATCATTTTCATTTAAGTGACCTAGTTTCTGCTGCCACATAGCATTCTTTTCATTTTTTATTGCATAAGCTGTGTTATTTTTGTCACATTTTACATAATATAATCCATTATATTTTTCAGCAGTAAGTAGTATATCACCTTCATTGTTTTTTATTAATGCCTTTTTCTTTGTAAATAATACAGAATTACCTTTATCAGTGATCTTACTAACGGATATTAAGTTTTCAGATATATCAGGTACATATAATGTGTCAGCGAGATTGCATTTATCACCATCTACCTTAATTGTTACTTTTCCTTTACCTTTTACGTTAGCGGTGTGAAAGTTAGATGCCAACTTTAGCAATCCAGTTTCTGATGATAGGTTTGTAAATTTTTCTTTTTGATAGGTAATGTGTGATGTGCATCCACTGTCCAATACCCAAGAATCTGTATCAATGTTTTCTTTACAAAGTGATAAACATACATTTAATGTTTTTTCTGATTTTTTGTCTTTATTATAATTACTACTTTTATTATATTTATTGTACTTTTTCTTACTCCAGCAGCTTTCAGTGGAATGGCCCTTTTTGTTACAGTTTTCACATTTTATTTGTTTTAGATTTTTATTATTTCTATTGTAAAATGCTCCATCGGATCTCTCTGGTTTGTTAACTTGTTTTCTAGCTTCACCTTCTTCGAGTATTTTTACTTTTAAGTCTTCCGGATTTGGTAATGTATCCCTAGATTCTATTGCAATTCTAAAGTTTTCATATGCACTAGGAAGGCTGTATAACATCATAATACTCAATAGTTCTGGATGTATTTTGACTTCCATATCGGCTAGTTTATCGACTATGTCTAGGAATTCATTCAAATGATCGCGAATATCGCTTTGAGAGTCCATTTTTTGTAAAACAAATTTTTTTAGGAGGGTTGCTTTTCTAGCGGGACCTGAACTTTGATAAGATGATTTCAGTTTATCCCAAATCTCTTTTGATGTCTTACATGTTTTTATTTGTTTTAATTCTGATGGAGATATTAGTAATAATATTTCCGATTTTGCCATCATATCGGATTTTTGAAATGCTGCGATAGTTTGGGGACATGCATCTGTTTCTAGGGAAATTTGTCCACTAACATATTCCCATAAATCGGCTTTTATAAGCACTGCTTGTGCCTGGAGACACCATGTATCATAATTGTTTTTATGTAATGGTTCGATTCTATACGTTGCCATTTTTTATATTATATGTTTCTATTTATTTCATAACTTTGTCGAATTTTCTTACCATACGCTCTGCTACCATTTGTACCATTTGATGTACTTGGTCGATGGAAAAACGACTTGTTTAGTATAAATAGTTTATTTTGTTAATATAATATTACGAATGTACAATATAGTCTTTTTTTTTTTTTGACAATATATATTTTTTATCTTTAAGCGGCGATCGAGTGAGTAGTGATGTGCCAGTGTCACCAACAGAACCACTATACTATTACGCTCTAAGAATTAATTTCCCCATCAAATAAACTGGAGAATTTATACATGTTACGAAACTTGGTATGTCAAAGTCGCCGGAGGGCATTAGAGCTTAGTATAATATAAAACATGAAACGTCAGTAAGTAATTACGGCAATAATAAATATTATTTAAGAATAATTTCTTCCTTATGTGAGTAATTCACAATATTATTGTAATTAAAAAAATAAAGGCGCCGACTAATTACTGGGCGTAGTTTTTCGTTGATGATATTTTTTGATAAATGAAAGAATGTTCAAAATCGGTTTAGTATTTTTATTTAATTTGACCAAAGAAAGAACAGTATCTTTATACTTTTTTATATAATAAATCCACTCCCAAGCTAACGGAGCTTATGTTATGGCTAATTACATTGATACATTTTTTTGTAAATCCTTATATAATATACATACAAAACATCCAGATGGGTATAAATAAATATACCGTAGGAAAAATCAAGCCTGCGTCTGTACGAAGTAAGGCTAACCCACTAGAGTTTGTTGGTTTTGTTTACATTTTCTCTAAAGTACATAATAATGTAATAGGCCCAGTACTGTGTAGGTAGTTACTACGTTTGCTAGAAAAAGTAAAAACAAGCAATGGCAACACAAATGTGTAACGACTTGTATCCAGAACCGTAAAACATATTAATAAAAAAAATCCTAATGTCAACTTCAGTCTACGTCAACTGTCAAATCGTCAACAAGTAAACTCAGTGAGCAATCTCAAAATATTACAAACAGTAGTTTTTATTAAAATTAATACCTATAGTTAATAATTAAATGCTTTAAATCAAAGTGCAGTCAAAATGACGAGCATATCATCCTATAATAATGTCACAGTGGTCACAGGTGAAGTGGAATATCCCGCAAATGATCCTGCCTCGGGTGCCTTCTTCCAGCCGGATTATAAAAAGTAATATTACCATTTATTGTTAGTCTAGTCTTAAAGTCCCATAATTCCTCGATAATGGATAACTAATTATTCTTATTCAGCTTCAGTAGTATAATAGATTACTTAGCTGAAGATAGCTAGCTAAACTAATAAAAGAATGTTAGCTAATAGGTATTAGAAAGTTCTTTTTTATTGTTTATCAGCGTACCCTGGACCTAGTTTTTTTTTATTATTTAGCATCATGCCCAGGACCTAGGACCTTCTAATTTTAAGAATGTTTTTAACAAAAATACCAGCATCTGCTTTGTCAGTTTTTTAATGCAATATTTTTTATGATTAAAAAAAATACTCTTGTATAAAAACCTAATTAATAAAGTGTTATTTATAAGTGTCTTGAATTATTATAAATATTGCTAATTATGAGTAACTGTATGAATTGAAAACTTAAGATTATAATAATACAAATCACTTTAAATTATACCTATTATTATATAATATATATTTTATTTGTAAAGCTATTAATTCTGTGCTTTATTTTCCTACTAACTGAGCCCGTGGGTCATCTGCTATGTTCGGACAAGGGATTATTAACAACTATGTTATTTTTTAATGACTGTAAATGATTATAAATGTAAAATAACAAAAAAATGTGCCACTTGAATGAAAGAATGAGAATGAGCTGAACTTTATGGTAGGAATAGTAATAAAAAAGTATGATATGCCTAAGGCAGTTGGTATGAACATTTGTATCCATGGGTATGTTTATTTGTATTGGTCTGGGTGTTTTCTATGTTTATTATATATTTACAAAAAGAGTGTGTTTAAGTATGACAACCTCGGTGGTCTAGCAATCTAGCACACCACTTTAGATCCGATGGTTGCGGGTTCGCTTCAACGCACGGCACAAACATTTGTATTCATGAGTATGATTGTTTGTATCGGTCTGGGTGTTTTCTATGTATAATATGTATGTATTTATGAAAAAAATATCTATGTACTTGTATCAGTTATCTAGTACCCGTAACACAAGCTTTAGACAGCTTAACTCAGGTCTAGATAGTGCTGTGTGAATTATCCTGAGATTTAAAAAAAAAAGTATTTAAATGAGATGTGCAGTATCTATAACAGAAGCTTTGCTTAGTTTAGCACTAGATGGTGCTGTATAAACTGTCATAAACAATTATTATTATGACTATGTGGATATAATAACAGAACACCTTTTTATAATCTGTGTGATTTATTAAATTTTGTTTCATTATTTCACAGGAATGATGATCTGAAAATGATGCTGGATGGATCTAAAGACTCTTTAAAGTTAGAGGCTATGAAAAGGATCATTGGCATGATAGCAAAAGGAAGAGATGCATCTGATTTGTTAGTATCAGATATATTATTATCCATTTGTCTATGCTTTATGACATACTTTTTTTATACTATGTTAGTGGCAAAAAGCATATAAATAAAATATTATTATAATGTTCATTTGGGACAAACAATATAGAATGTTTAGGTAGGTAGACAACAAACAAAAGACAAAGACAAAATACATCTATGTGGATACCTAAATCTCACATATTGATATTAAAACTAGCTGTCTCGGCAAACATTGTTTTGCCTTAAAATAAAGAAAAAATTTAGTGATGGACTACCCCTAACATTTAGGGGGATGAAAAATAGATGTTGGCCGATTCTTAGACTACGCTCACAAAATTTCATGAGAATCGGTCAAGCCGTTTCGGACGAGTATGGGAATGAAAACTTTGACACGAGAATTTTATATATAAGATGTACAGTTGCAGTGATGAATACGAAAGAGCAGCATACAAGTTTCTTGCTCATTCTTCTTGTGATGAGACAGCATTCCTAATTAGCCTTAGTTTAAAAAAATAGCTATGACAATTCAATAATTTATTTAAATCAAAGGATTTTCTATTCTGGAACAACAATGCATAAATGGTATTTGTTGATTGTGTTAAAGCTGCTTTCTGTTTGCTTTGGGAGAAGTGGAAATTTTGTACTTAAATTTAAATGAAACCACGTTGTGTCTTCACGGTTGTATTTTGGCGACTGATTGTAATGTACACAAACGGTGGCCGGCCGGCAGAAACACATAACTGTAACTGCGGTCCGATATAGACCAACCAGTATTAAACAACAGTTAATTAACATGCACTGTTCATGTATATAGTAAAAACATGTGTAGTAGTTTATATTATTAACTTTTGGAATTGGTCTAATATTACTATTATTTTTAGAGCTTGCCAAAAAGCTGCCTGTTATTGTTTTATTTTTATAGATATTATATTATATTATTTATATATGAGGCTGTCTATAATGAATGATTCATTATAGACAGCCTCGATGGTCTAGCAGTTTAACATATCACCTTACTTCAGATGTCGCGGGATCGATTCCCACAGAAACATTTGTATTCATGAGTATGATTGTTTGTATCGGTCTGGGTGTTTTCTATGTATTGTATGTATATTTATTTACGAAAATCTCTATATTTGTATCATTTGTCTAGTACCCATAACACAAGCTTTAGCCAGCTTAACTTGGGTCTTGAAGGCACTGTGTGATTTGTCCTGAGATTATTATTATTATTATTCCAGATTTCCAGCAGTAGTGAAGAATGTAGTATCAAAGAACATAGAAGTGAAGAAATTGGTGTATGTTTATCTGGTGAGGTATGCTGAAGAGCAACAGGATCTGGCGCTCCTATCCATCAGTACTTTCCAACGAGCACTAAAAGTGAGTGTTCTACATTTTTTTTCAGATCAGGGCCTTCATATGAAATTGAGCTAGCTGTATACCTATAAATTCTATAATAAAACTAGCTGACCCAGCAAATGTTGTTTTGCCATATAAATTAATCAGTTATCCGGCTCGAAGGACAATATTGGAGAGTTACGGATTTCTCAGTGGATTATTATAGCGATTGTAAATAACATTACATAATTGTGGTTAAATGAAAATAATTTGCTTCCATATATTGTGAAAGGATCGATTATAAAGAAAAATCAAAACAACAGTGACATTTTAAAATATAGGACTTTAAAAAAGTATTAACAATGAGGTAATATGTTGGTGTAGGTTACAAAATTAGTGTTATGTTACGTATTTTTCCGTATTGTGAGTTACTTATTCGGCTTCTATGTTCCACTGTAAATCAACACGACGCTAATTTTAGTCATGGCATAACGTTGACATAACATTAGCGGTGCTCGCCCACAATCACCACCGCGTCAATGTGCGTGTAAGGGACCCACTTACACAAACAGTAACGCGGAGATGATACTGCACAATGGTGGTTAATATATTTGTATTTTATTTAATTTTCTTATTCTTTTTCAAGTAACCCAATATGAGACCAATTTAATGCATTGTTTTAATTTCGTTTATTTTATACTAGCTGTTCCCGCGACTTCATCCGCGTGGAATTTAACTTTATTTTTCTAAAATGAAAGAACTTTTCTAAAATAAAAGTAGCCTAAGTTACTCCTTATTACATCAGCTACCTGCCAAAAAAAGTCCCGTCAAAATCGGTCCAGCCATTTCAGAGATTAGCCGGAACAAACAGACAGACAGACAGACAAAAATTGTATAAAATGTTATTTTGGTGTATGTACCGTAATAACCGTATTTTACTACATACATATGAATATAATTCATATGTATGTAGTAAAAAATGGTTATTTCAATATTACAAACAGACACACCAATTTTATTTATATGTATAGATAATAATTTATATGCTGCTGTTAGTATCGTCATTGTTGTATCGTAATGTGTGATGTAATAAATGTTATTATATTCTATACAATTCTTTATGCCATATCATAAAAAAACACATTTTTTTAATTTAAGTTTCATCTAAATTATGACGCTCTTTCGTTCTCAACAGGACCCAAATCAGCTGATCCGTGCTAGTGCCCTCCGCGTGCTGTCCTCCATCCGTGTGCCGATGATAGTGCCGATTGTGATGCTGGCCATCAGGGACTCCGCCAGCGACATGAGTCCGTACGTGAGGAAAACTGCCGCTCATGCCATACCAAAACTTTACAGGTAACATTTCTGTCACATTTCAACATAATAAAAATGTGTTAAACTGCAAGACCACTGAAACTGACTATTACAAATATTGTTGCAGCCTTGACCCTGAGCAGAAGGAAGAGCTGGTGGCTATAATAGACAAGCTGTTATCAGATAAGGCACCGCTCGTTGTAGGGTCCGCTGCGATGGCCTTCAACGAAGTGTGCGGCGACCGCATGAGTCTCATACACAGGAGCTACAGGTAATTCAAAATATCTTTATTCATGTAGGTCTATTACAGACTCTTATGATATGTCAAATCTACCGTCAGTTCGGAATGATTTCCAGATGAGAAGAACTGACAAGAAACTCAGCTCGTATTCTTTTCAAATAAATATTGTACATGTTTACAATAATACAGATTAATTTTTAAATTTAAACTTAATCTATATATAATTCTCACGTTTTAACAAAAAACTTTGTACAACTTTTTACGAAAATTGCGCGAGCGTAGTAGTATGAAATTTCACATACTTATCATTACATAGTATAAAACAAAGACACTGTCGCTGTCTGTCCGTCCCTATGTATGTTTAAATCTTTAAAACTACGCAACGATTTTGAAGCGGTTTTTTTTAATAGATAGAGTGATTCTAAGAGGATTGTTTTATATGTATAATACATATACACCCGGGCGAAACCGGGGCGAGTGGCTAGTAGTTTATATAGAGGAGGAGTGTAGAATGCTAATATTTTTTAATTATGCATAAGAAATAAAATGATTATTATATAGAAAATCATGTTATCATGTTTTGGAATCTAACTTCACTATTTACGTTTATAACGCACGCGTGTTATATGAGCTACTTTATATATAAAAAACCGTAGAAATTAGATCCACTTTACAAGCGTGTTGAAAAAAAATTTGTTATGTTGTAGGAAATTGTGCTCGTTACTAGCAGACGTGGATGAGTGGGGACAACTGGCCCTACTCAATATGCTTACGTTGTACGCGAAGACGTGCTTCCCAGACCCTAACACCGACGTAAGTAAAATTCATTATAAATTGTAACTTCTAAAACCACAATGGCCTCGGTGGTCTATTGGTGCACACTGCCATACTTCCAATGGTCGCGGGTTATATTCCTTGAACGCTGCAAACGTTTGTATGTGTTGTAGTAATAAGAAAAAAGACTAGGTAAACGGAGAAATAGTAAAGTTTAAACACGTTCTATCATAAATTACATACCTCTTGAAGAATTATAACAGGGACGTGGATAATACTAGCACAACTATATATTGCACCATCAGGAACACCCACAATTAATTCCCAAAAATCCTCAAGCACTAGTCAAAACTCTTCATCTTCTTACCGTCAAAGGTCGGGACGATAGTCACCACCATATGTTAATATATATTTTCTCCGTTTACCTAGTCTTTTTTTTCTTATTACTACAACACGTTATCAGCGCGATTTCAACAAGCTCAATACATATCAGATTAGCCAGTAACAAGAGTATGCATGAGTATAATTGTTTGTAACGATCCGGCCCGCCCTATCTCGCGTTCTTCAATCAAGAAGCTCGCTTCGCCTTTTTGTAATTATGTAATTAAAGCTCGCGCATTTCCGCGTACTGCAATCGTGAAGCTCGCTTCAGTGCCTTTTGGTAGTAACTATCATTGCCAAATGACGGATTTAGAACTATGGACCAGACATAATTATAGAGGTATTGATTATTTATAAAAGTTAACCGTGACATTGGAAAATAAAATCTATGGAATATATGAAGTGATATATAACATACGCACTATCACGCGCGAAAGTGAACAAAGAATAGATAAAGTAATATGCAATCATTCACGATTATGCGCACTAGCTTTCCTGCGCAAATCGCTCCAGATCGCGTGAAAGAACGTGTCGTGTAAAAGCAGCTAATAACACCTAATTACACACTTACAGTCATACAACAGCGATAGCGAGACTGAGAAGCCGTTCTACGAGTCGTCGAGCGATGAGGGAGAGGAGGCGCAGGACGGGGACGGGGAGACCAGGGGGGCGGAGACCGAGGGCGGCCAGCGTGGAGCCCGACCTGCGGCTGCTGCTGCGCGCCGCCAAGCCGCTGCTGCAGAGCAGGAACTCAGGAGTTGTGATGGCCGTCGCGCAGCTCATGTACCACTGCGGACCAGGTCAGTGCATGTTTAAATGTAAATGTAAGTTAGACTACATTTTCCGCAATGAGTCTCTCATCTTGGCCGTTGTGCGTGTACAAACTACTAGAGTAGCCAGCCAAGTTCCTTCTAGAAGCGTAGAAGTTTCCTTGTTTCATTCATAGAATAAGAATCATTTATTGCTGCCAATCAAATTATATAAAAGAAATACATTTAAATGATACTTAATTAAAAGCACCAAAAGGTCCCGGTTCAGCGTGTGCCGACAGGATCCTCCTATGCGGCGCTGGTTTTTAACCGGACCCTTCTCTATCAGTTTAGCAGATAATTTATAAAATAAAATAAATATATAGACATCTTATCTTTTACATACAGGGTGTATGTATGTGTAGGATATAGGATTTTATTGAGTTTTAGGGTATTGTCAGGTACTTAAACCTGTAGCCCTGCGACCTAAATAGATCTATTGTGCTCGCTCTTTCTTCCAAAGTTCGCTACCTAGATCCGTCAGGGACAAGAATATATATTCTTAGGAGCGATTTTTTTATCTCCTTATAGTAGGGTGTAAACTTTCCAAAGAAGATATTTTCTTTTATGTATGAGTGGGATATAATCACATAGGATGTGAATGAAAAATCTGGTCAAGTATCGAAAATCTAAGAAATAATATATACCGAGAAATTTAAATCGCGCGCGCTCCTAATGGCGCGTTAAAGAACGTGTCGTGTAAAGAAAGGTATTAGTTTTTACTAAGAGTTCACTTCCCCGCAAGTTAGGAGTTAGCTATAGGGTCGGTAGTCGACATTAGTGAGAGTCCGTGTGGTGCCCGCAGGCCAGGAGTTAGCTATAGGGTCGGTAGTGGACATTAGTGAGAGTCCGTGTGGTGCCCGCAGGCCAGGAGTTAGCTATAGGGTCGGTAGTCGACATTAGTGAGAGTCCGTGTGGTGCCCGCAGGCCAGGAGTTAGCTATAGGGTCGGTAGTGGACATTAGTGAGAGTCCGTGTGGTGCCCGCAGGCCAGGAGTTAGCTATAGGGTCGGTAGTGGACATTAGTGAGAGTCCGTGTGGTGCCCGCAGGCCAGGAGTTAGCTATAGGGTCGGTAGTGGACATTAGTGAGAGTCCGTGTGGTGCCCGCAGGCCAGGAGTTAGCTATAGGGTCGGTAGTGGACATTAGTGAGAGTCCGTGTGGTGCCCGCAGGCCAGGAGTTAGCTATAGGGTCTGTAGTGTACAGTGTGAGAGTCCGTGTGGTGCCCGCAGGCCAGGAGTTAGCTATAGGGTCGGTAGTGGATATTAGTGAGAGTCCGTGTGGTGCCCGCAGGCCAGGAGTTAGCTATAGGGTCGGTAGTGGACATTAGTGAGAGTCCGCGTGGTGCCCGCAGGCCAGGAGTTGTCTCCGGTGGCGAAGGCGATGGTGCGGCTGCTGCGCGCGCCGCCCGAGGTGCAGAGCGTCGTGCTCACATCCGTCGCAGCGCTCACGCTCTCCAAGCGGGTACCGGACACAGTACCACATACGATATACATCATGCACCCTTCACCATACATCATACACCACGCGCCATACACAGCAAATAAGACGAGGATCGAAATTACGACGGCCTGTGCCGAGATTCGAACCCTAGAGGTGCCCTCGCACTAAAGTCGTATCCATCGGGCAGGAGTTATTTAGCGAGTTTGGAGTGCCATCTCCACTCGGTCCCTATTGTCCGATGAAGCCGTATAGTCTAGTTGCGGCCGACAGCATTAGAGTAGTCCAAAAAAATCGTACACCATACATCGTACAACATACACCATGCACATTCAGTCTTACCTAATGTCTCTACCATCCTACCTATAGAAATAATACTTATCTTTATACAGTGACGGCCTCGGGTCTACCCTATTATCACACCTCTGTACTTCCGATGGTTGCTAGTTCAATTACTCGTAAAGTGCAAACGTTTATACTTATGAGTATAATTGTGTGTATGGGTTTGGATGTTCTCAGTATATATTAGGTTATATAAATACAAATGTTTGCATCGTGCGAGGAATCGAACTCGCAACCAACAAAAACAAAGCATTGTGTTTTTTTTTTGGAGTACCTACTCTAATGCTGTCGGCCGCATCTGGCCTTTACAGCTTACAGCTTACAGCTACAGCTAGCTTTACAGCTTACACCGGACGATAGGGGGCGAGTGCAGATGGCACTCCAAACCAAGGAAGGACGTATGGAGCGGCTGAAGGCCAACTCCTGCCCGATGGATACGACTTTAGTCTGAGGGCACCTCTAGGGGTTCAAACTTCGGCTCAGGCCGTCGTAATATTTGAATTGGACTCTTAACCGCTAGAGGCCGTATAAATTGATATAACGTTAAAATTGAATAATTCTTTAACAGTCACTATTCGAACCATTCCTGAAGTCATTCTTCGTTCGTACCTCCGACCCTACTCACATCAAGCTACTCAAACTGGAGATCCTCACCAACCTGGCCACGGAAGCCAGTGCCCCAGTGGTACTGAGGGAGTTCCAGACCTACGTGTCTTCAAATGATAAGGTTTTCGCCGGAGCAACTATCCAGGCGATCGGGCGCTTAGCTGTTCAGATTCAATCAGAAACCGAGACCTGTCTCAATGGGCTACTGCATCTGTTATCCAGCAAAGATGGTAAGATGATTTTTATTAATACAGTAAAAACCTGGTTAAGTGGAACGTGAATAACCGGTATTATTGAGAGCTGCAATGAAGTCCCAGTACTTTTTCATTGAATTACCTCTGTTAATGGGACTTTATGAACCTGGTTAAATGAGATTTGAAATCTAATATTTTTCGATGTTTACGTCTATAATTGGGAGTCTGTAGCTGAATTCCGCGCTGAATATTTGTGGTCTCACGTATTATTGTATTATTGTAATACTCATTAAATTCTACTAATTAAACAAAATAACATAAGCCTATTAAGCAATGAGGACTTTCTCAAAATAACAAGTTTTGAAAAGCAAAGAAAGCAATCAAAGACGAATCCTATAATTTAGTTGATATAGCTAATATAGATTAAGTTATAGGATTCGTCCTCCTAACTAGATGATTACCGCTTAAATTAGACCTTTTTTTTCTGAAAATGTGTAAGCAAAAGTAACAAGCAAAATAACTAATTATAAATTACCTAATTTGTTAAAATAAAGTGTTACTGGAGCGGGAACACAACTACTTATTTTTAATAAAAACCAAATACTAGTAAAAATGTGTATTCTTCCCAAAAGGGCTCACAGCGAGAAGTAACAAAACAATTCTAGTCAAAAATGACATATAAAAAAAATCAAAAATATAAAGTTTATAAAAAGAATGATAGACAAGCTGCCAGTAACATAAAGGATTAATATATGTACGGAAACCCGTACAATACTATATGTTTATATACATTGCATTTATATAAATATTATACTATGTGTCATTTGTCTAAAAAGTAATAAAATCAGTATGTATCAATAATAGTGCTTATGGATACGTACTGATTTTATTACTTTACAACGGAACGTATGTTTGAATCAACCTCATATATCATCATTTTATCTAAGAATAAATCCCCTACATTTTTTGGTCCTTCGAGCCGAATAAAACAAGGTAAAATGGTGAATGGTGTGTACGCAGAGTGGGTGGTGTGCGAGGCGGTGGTTGTGGTGAAGAGGGTGGTAGGTGGCGGGGCCAGCTCCGCACGTGCTGCCGTCGCACGCGCCGCGCGACTGCTAAGGGCCGACAGGTACACCTTAACTAATTCATATTTATAACATTTTTTAAGTAATCGGAGAGGCAAAGAAGGTTCCGGGCCACATTATCATGCGATATCCGTGACTCATGCGTTGCCGTTGATATTAGTCTTTTAACGTGTAAGTCACTGCTCAGTTTGCAGTCTATAATCGAAGCAGCTCACAAAGCGAGCTACTCGGTGGACGAAATAGGTTAGGCTGAGGTACCCCCTGCAGATACCTCATCGCAGTCTGCCTCTGGTGAATTCGTTTGTTATTTTTTATAGCCTTCCATTTACAGCAAACTGTCATGAGAATTTTGGAAATACTGGCATGTGGATTTAAGAAAGTAGAGTCTATAATCCACGATCCGAGGTCAGACGTAGTAGGTGTGTGGCTTGCTTCAGGTTGGCAGGAGCGGCTCGCGCGGCGGCCGTGTGGCTGGTGGCCGAGCACGGCGCCTCCCGGCCCCGCGCCGCCGCCGTGCTGGCGCACCTCGCCTCCGCCTTCGCCGATCAGGTACCGACAATGTGCGGCTGGCGGCCGAGCACGGCGCCTCCCGGCCCCGCGCCGCCGCCGTGCTGGCGCACCTCGCCTCCGCCTTCGCCGATCAGGTACCGACAATGTGCGGCTGGCGGCCGAGCACGGCGCCTCCCGGCCCCGCGCCGCCGCCGTGCTGGCGCACCTCGCCTCCGCCTTCGCCGATCAGGTACCGACAATGTGCGGCTGGCGGCCGAGCACGGCGCCTCCCGGTCGTCACCGGTCCACGCGCAGGAGATCGGCGGAGCCGTGAGCTAATTAGATCGATGACTGTAAGTAACTAACTGAAGTAACTGAAGTAGACTGTCGTCCCCGGCAGGAGGAGCTGGTGAAGCTGCAGCTGCTGTCGCTGGCGGTGAAGCTGCACGTGGCGCAGCCGGCGGCGGGCGCGCTGTGCCGGTACGTGGCGGCGCTGGCGCGGTACGACGCCAGCTACGACGTGCGCGACCGCGCGCGCCTGCTGCGCCGCTTCCTGCAGCCCCGCGGACACCTCGCCGCGCGCGCCGCACACGTCTTCTGCCCCGACAAGCCCAAGCCGCAAGTCCACAGCACCTTCAGAGGTGAGCCGGTAGCTTCGTTTCGATGAAGAATCCGTCGTTACTTTTAGATGATATCTCCACTGTTCGGTGCCTCACCAGGGCGTATCGTTACCGCATGCGAATGCGCTACTAATGCGCTATATGTTTATACATAAGAGAAGGAACTTTATTCTATTATAGTAATTGGGTACTTAAGTATCATAATATAAGTATATACCAAATATTTTATTTAAGGCATCGCGTTCATGAGAACACGTTAGTTGTCTGGAATATTACTCTAGTAGTATCCGGCTCGAAGGACTATAATAATTGTTTTGCTTCCGAATTTAGCAAGAATTAAACCACCGGTTTAGATATAACGTATCTGTAATAAAAGCAGTTACTACAAACACTATCACAAATTAACTACTAGAGCGCAATCTGTAGTCGAATATTACTATTAGTTAGCCAGATAGATTGTGTTCTTCTTTACAAGTACTATATTGGATTGTACATCGATTACGTACCTGTGTTTAGACCGGCAGCAGTTCACGGTGGGCTCGCTGTCGATGTACACGGGCTCGGCCGCCAGCGGGTACCGGCCCCTCCCGCCCGCGCCCCCGCACGCCCAGCACGGGGCCCTGCGGGACGTGGGGCCCCCCGCGGGGCCCGCCGCCGCCCCGCGCGCCCCCGCCGCCCCACAGGTACACCGCACGCCCTGCACGGGGCCCTGCGGGACGTGGGGCCCCCGCGGGGCCCGCCGCCGCCCCGCGCGCCCCCGCCGCCCCACAGGGACACCGCACGCCCTGCACGGGGCCCTGCGGGACGTGGGGCCCCCGCGGGGCCCGCCGCCGCCCCGCGCGCCCCCGCCGCCCCACAGGTACACCGCACGCCCTGCACGGGGCCCTGCGGGACGTGGGGCCCCCGCGGGGCCCGCCGCCGCCCCGCGCGCCCCCGCCGCCCCACAGGTACACCGCACGCCCTGCACGGGGCCCTGCGGGACGTGGGGCCCCCCGCGGGGCCCGCCGCCGCCCCGCGCGCCCCCGCCGCCCCACAGGTACACCGCACGCCCTGCACGGGGCCCTGCGGGACGTGGGGCCCGCCGCCCCACAGGTACACCGCACGCCCTGCACGGGGCCCTGCGGGACGTGGGGCCCGCCGCCCCACAGGTACACCGCACGCCCTGCACGGGGCCCTGCGGGACGTGGGGCCCCCCGTCGCCCCGCGCGCCCCCGCCGCCCCACAGGTACACCGCACGCCCTGCGAGACGTGGGGCCCCCGCGGAAATACGCCGCCGCCCCGCGCGCCCCCGCCGCCCCACAGGTACACCGCACGCCCTGCACGGGGCCCTGCGGGACGTGGGGCCCCCCGCGGGGCCCGCCGCCGCCCCACAGGTACACCGCACGCCCTGCACGGGGCCCTGCGGGACGTGGCGCCCCCCGCAGCATATAACACGAGCCCTGCTTAGCTCGAGACTAAATGGCGATTTGTAGATTGCCCTAAAATATTATGATTATTATTATAGAAAAATAATCTTATTAGATATTTTTTCTTACAGAAAGATAAAAGCTTTTATTCGGAGCCGGAGAGCAGTTCCTCAGGGTCGGCATCATCTTCATCCGAATCCAGCAGCTCTGAAGAATCTTCTGATGAGTTAGTACCATTCACATAAAATATATATTTTATATTTATTAGGAGGCTTTATAAGTAGACCTTTAAACTGTTCGCGACTTCGTTTACGCAGCGCACGCAACGAAAGCCCTCAAAATTTGAATAATATTCTAAGGTTACCGTGTTCAAACAAACAGACAAACAAACTCTTCATCTTTATAATCTTAGTATAGATAAAGAAGTTTGTGCGTATTGATCTATAGTTTTAATTATTAATAGGATATTCGTGATAGTTTGTAATTCTAATCGCATAAAAAAAAATATTTCAGAGAAGAAAGCAACGACGAAGATAAGAAACCAGTGCAGAACAAGCAAAAACAGACCAACAATTACAGGTACGTTCAAGAACAAACACTCATTCAAACAGTTTAACAGCACATTGTACTTAGTCGTTGCCTCGTCTTCATCCCATTATTTGTGGTCGGCGTATTATGTCTTCTTCTTCCACTGATAGGGATCAGATATTACGGCCGAAAGGATATCGGCCGTTATGTCTGAGCTTTCTTTTTATTCATATCATCCGTTTTTTTTTTTTCAAAATCAAATCCAAAAATTCAAAATATCTTTATTCATGTAGGTCTATTACAGACTCATATGATATGTCAAATATACCGTCAGTTCGGAATTATTTCGAGATGAGAAGATCTGACAAGAAACTCAGCTCGATGTTTTTTTAAATGTTGTACATATTTACAATAATACAATTTCATTTAAATTCAAATTTGGGAGAAAAGAGTGCCCACCAGCATATGCTATTGAAGAAAAAAAACAAAGAATCTAAGCAGTGATCGCAACCTGAACAGACCAGTCCCCACAAGCAGCATCCGTTCACGAGTATGACGGATGAGCCAGCCATCATTGCACTCAACCATATTAGAGGGAATACATCGACCCGACCCAACACGCCGCCACAAGTTTGAACTTTATAGCGAGCATGACTGTTACAAGTTACTCCACTATGTCATTTAACAGTACTTCTGTAGCTTTACATTGCAACGCGGTGGTTATCTTCATCACTATAGCGATATATATGTAAGATTATGTGTATAATCCAATATCTAATATGATCTATTTTGTAAATAGCGCCATCTAGTATTTATAGACCGAACCAAGTTTGTCATAAGATAACCATTACCCCCGCTTCTCTCCCTACTACACTGACTTCGGTCTATAAATAAGGAGGTCGGTAGTTGAATAATCCTCTTTCGTTGGATGAACCGCGGCATTCAGTCGACGAGCGCAGAGCGTGACGGTTGTGTTTTGGATACTAAAGTGAATTGTATTAGAAATGGGTTTATCCCGGTCTTAGTTGGGCCTGGAGAGCAGCTGCAAGTAGTGAAGGTGAGTGTTTAATGCATTATAAAGGGGCCTCTTAAATTTACACCCGTGACACAAGACACGGGCGCTACTTGGGGTTTCCCTTGCGGTAGCCGGCTTCAAAGCCATCGTCTATACTAAAGTGAATTGTATTAGAAATGGTGAATTTATCCCGGTCTTAGTTGGGCCTGGGGGGAAGCTGCAAGTAGTGAAGGTGAGTGTTAATGAATTATAAAGGGGCTTCTTAAATTTACACCCGTGTCACAAGTCACGGGCGCTACTTGGGGTTTCCCTTGCGGTAGCCGGCTTCAAAGCCATCGTCCGGTATCAATAAACCCGATCTTACATATATGATGTGATTAGGTGTCGCTACATATATTTGTTTATTGTAGTTTATAGGTAGTGAGTATACAGGTGATATAATTGTACTATTTATTGTACATTAGTAAATTTATTAGATAGAGTGCTACAAGGCTTATTAATAATGCGTATGTACATTCGACGTGGAGTCGGGACGTAGACTGACTTTATACCTCAACTTAAATTTATGTTATCTGGAGAGGTAAACTGATTCGAATGTGCAGAACACTGACAGAAATATTGTAAGTGTAGGCACAACTTTTATGTTTATTTTAAGTACTTTATATATATATATATATAAACTCATTAAACGATTACTTAAATTACAAACAGGCATAGCAATAGTTGTTCATGCACGAGAACATTTCGTTTAATTTAATGTTACACATAGACGTCTGTATAAGCATAAAATGCAAATAAACTGTCTTAAAAAAAAAGAAACCAAGTCGTGTTTTGAATCGAATCTATAATATATACTGTATTGGACGGTAGGCAAAAATATTAATTACAAAATATTTCATGTTCTAAGCTGCTAAATTGAATAAAAGATTTCTGAATTTGAATTGGTTTCCTTTGCATAATATACTAAGACTGTCTGTTACCTCGCACCTTCTCATTTACAAAATTTAATATACTACATTTAATATATATTTTTTTTATCATGCAACCCCTCAATGTACTGAAGATTCATATTTATGAGCAGGTCGTCGTCGTCGGGCTCAAGCGAGAGCGGAAGCGAGTCGGGCGACAGTGAGAGCGAGTCGGATAGCGAGGCGGACAGCGGAGACGGGGATTCACAACATAGCGACGACAAGGTAGTCTATAGTTAAGGTGATTTACTATTTAATTATCTTAAACTGTACATTCTCAAAAACAATTACACAATAAAAGAAAAAAGAGAGAGTGAGAGAGTAAAATCTCTTATGCCCAATTTACACTCGGCCAGAGTAGGCAGGGAAGTGAGCAGCGCAAGAGTGGAAACACTTCCCATGCCATTGGCGCTGCAACTCGCGCTGCCCGGCGCTCCCTCGATTGTCGGTTTTTCGTGCGCGAGTCAAAAGACTGGCAGCGTGTTTTTACATTCAGCCCTCTCGCTCAGTTGTCGCCCGGCTATATTTCCGGCAGTGCGAGTGGTAGGGGAAGCGGCTGAATGTAAACGTAGCGTAGATCATAAATAAAATGGCGATTACTGGAATCATTTCTAATAATAATAATATCGCTAGATAGCGCCATCTAGTCTTAAGTTTGCTTAACTTAAAACTAGATGGCACTTGTCTTTTTTCTTATGTATGATATTGGAATTGTGCATCCGCCTGCGCTAACGGTATACGCTAGCGAGGCACCAGTGCAGGATTATAAATTGAGTCAGATCGGTTAGCTCATTGTGGCAAATTCACCAGGAATTTAACATGATGGTTTCCAGGAGGACCCGCATTGTGGTCAACCTGACTTAATACATTATTATCAAAAGGGTTTTTAATCCACATTACTAACAATTCTATTCCCCTGGTTATATGTATATATTAGAATGGTGCATCTGCCTGCGCTAACGGTATACCTTGGCGGAGCATGATATGATGATGAGCAGTGAACAATGATCGCATGAGCATATATTCATTAATTACAATTCATTGTGGGTTTGATGAAAGTAGTATATTTTCTCCCGGGCCTCGTACGGGACACTGCCGATTATCAGAGGTGCTATGCTATGCCGTCGATTTGGGCGTATGTGTCACAGCAGACTCGTAATGTAATCTCCGATTAAACAAAATGGTGGGTACAGGAGGATGAACCACCGGCGAGGAGGGCTCCAGCGAGAGAACAGCAGAAGAACGAGAAGTCGAACCTGGAGCTGCTGCTGGAGCTGGACGAGGCGGCCAGCGCGCTGCCGACCATCACGCCCACCTGCGGAGGACTGCTGTCGCCACTCACCGCGCCCACGGCGGGGACAGCTGACGGTAACTGTTTTTTTTTTATTGGAATTAGAAGCTAGGTAGGCTAAAACATCATAGGCGATGGGATACTTTGCTGATTTCTTATTTTGAATAGAATTATTCTACGTTCGTACAAATAACTTATTTTGAATGCATGGAAACGAGCTGGATAAAAAGATAAAGGATTCCAAGACAATAAATTATGATAATATAAATTAAAAATAATAAAACTAGCTGGAACTAATATTAGTTTGGGTGCCTTTTATGTATAATATACATAATATTAATAATACATAAACCTGGAAAATTAATACAGGGCCTTTAAGTCCCTCGGTAAGCAGAGCTTGTGTTATGAATACTAGAAAACTGATACAAATACTTAGATATTTTTAAATATATCTATGTATCTGTCTAGTATCCATTTATATAGTACCCATAACACAAGCTTTAACTAGCTTAACTTGGATCTAGATTGCACTGTGTGAATTGTCCTGAGATTATTATCGTTATCGTTTCATTAACTCGGTTTTTGCCGATTTTTATGCTTATTTTTATTATTATTAGTTATAAAATTGTAACAGATTTGTATGGATGTACAGCAACAGAGAATGCGATCACCCCCGTGGGCCCGTCGTTCGTGTCGGCCCCGTACGCTGCAGAGGAGCTAGTAGGACTCGTGTCGTGGGGCGGCCTCGTGGCTCACCGACGGTGGCCTCGCACGCCGCACCTCTACTCGCACCGGTTGTGCTCGGTAGTGGTCATATTCACCAACCACACGCCGCGGGACGTCACCAACATCAGGATCAATAAGAAGGTAACGACTCCGGCATCCTTACCTTACGAATGTACTGTTACGGAATGGGTCGAAAGATATTTTAAGAAAAACTATTATTTAAATGTTAAGTGAGGATCGGTAATAGCCAGGGTACTTTTATTATGGATGATGAATGGTGCACTCGTTTGTGCTATCGGTATACAGTATACACTGACGGGTCACCCGTAGAGGATGATAAAATGAGCATGAGGGTTTATCACGATGGTTTCTAAGAGGAACCGTGTGGAGATCAACTTGACATGGTACATTGCTAGCAATGGCATCACTAGTCCAAATTACTAACATTCCACTCCCCCCCCGCAGCCAGGTTACTGATACGGAGTGTGTCGTAAGAAAGTTTAAAAAAAATCCATTTTAAGCAGAAAACGCGTCTTAGGTGAAGATTAATAAGAGACTAACTTTTTCATTCCCTGTGACTTAGCCGACACCGCAAGTACTTGGAAAGGAATGAATAAATTAATATTGTCATATTAATACAATAACTAACACGGTGTTTTCGGAACTGTTCTTAAGAACTGTGTTTGTCAAATTGTAACAGTACCTTAGGTACCCCTGTAGTTACTCCCGGACCTTAGCCAAGAGTTGATGAGTTTAAAAGTTATATGAAGTTAATGACAAAAGAAATTTTCTTACAATACGGCATGAGTTAATAATGTCGGCTTTTTGTAGTTCTACCGTAAAGGAGGAAATTTGCAGCATTTCTAGATGTTTCCTAAGACTTTGTGGTATAATTCCTGTGGGTGACAAAACTATTGGTTTTACAGATCGAAGTTTAGAGGTACATGTCATACTTACCAAGTTATTATTATTATTATTATTTATAAAATTCAGACGCTGACTGGTTCACGCGCTATCCACGATTTCGCCCCCGTAGCGGTACTGGAGCCAGTCGCCAACGCGACCGTCATACTCGGGATCGACTTCGCGGACACCATACAGCCTATCGAGTTCACCATGGCCTGCTCCTTAGGTAACTAACAATTGTTGTATGTACTAACTACTATATTATAAATGTCCAAATGTATGTCTACATGTTACCTCTTAACGTATGTTACATATGTATTACACATAATTTTTAATATTATAAAATTTATTTGTTAATTTTAGAAACATAAATGAAGAAACTTACATTTACGAAGAAATCGCTAGGCAATTGTTATTGTAACCCAAATTCCAAATCATTCTAATAAAGATTTTTATAACACAATGTTATTAATAAAACAATTAAGAAATTGCTTGTTTCATTAAATTTGGCATGAAAATCTAGCATTGTATTTAAATGAACCGGAGCGATAGGGTGAAAATCGTCTAGTCTATTTTCGAATTAACCCCTTAACAGTCAAATTGTCCCCCTATGGGGCGTGGGCCACACGTAGAAAAATATTTAGACCGTCCGGAATGTTTAGGCGTTTAGGATCCCTGTTATAGTGTTCTTTCCTTTCATTTTTTTTATAAACCCATCCTGATCTATTTATCACGTATCCCAGACCTAATAATTAGTCTCGATTGCTGACAGTCCCCTCCCCCCTTGCTCCCCCTCGGGGGAAAATCATCTCCCCCTCACTTTGGGTTCGAGAATTATATAAAATTGTATGTGTACAGGTGAAGTGGCGGTGGCGGTACGGCCGCCTGTGGGCGAACTTATCCGCGCCGTGAACATGTCCGACGAACGATGGGCCAGCGAACAACGGCTGCTGCGCGGCATGACCGAGGTTTGTCACTTATTTCATATATTCAAATTCAAAAATAATTTATGTAGGACATTTTAGCCGCTTATAAACGTCAAATTCATTTTACTAACATTTTTTACCTACCGTCCAGTTCAGTATACAGATTCAAATGAGACGAACTGGCAAAAAACTAAAGTGAATTTCTAATTTTAATAAAAAGGCCAGTTTATTTACTATGTTTTCTTATATAGGTCTCTATATTTAACATTAAATGGAAATCCTGTGCATGAACAACTAATCAATTCAAATTCAAAAGTCATTTATTCATGTAGGACATTGTAGCCGCTTATTGAACGTAAATTTTTATAATTTTTCTCCTTATTTATCTATTCTATTCTATATTTTTTTCGGTATCGTCCAGTATACAGATTCAATTAAGAACTGGCAAGAAACTCAATTGAATTTCTTTTTTTTTTTTAATGCCAATTTATTTACTATGTTTACTTATATAGGTGTTTAACATTAAATGGAAATCCCGTTCCATTTACCATCATATGGGCCATATGGTAGATTGTCATCATCATAGCAAAAAAAACTTGAGGAAAAATTGTAGCTATCAAATGCAAAAAGGTTTTCTCAAATCCTTCCGCATTTTATAATCTATTCTTTCTATATGTGTAATAAAGAAATTTGTGCTGGGCCACCCTAATCACTTGGGGGTATGAAAATAGTTAACAAACTTTTCTGAGCACTACCCAGTCTACTTACAAAATTGCATGAAAATTGATTAAGCCGTTACGGGCAACTAACATTGTGACACGAGAATGTTATATATATTTATATTTATTAAGTAAATAAGAATATTTCATAAATTCGCAGTGTGAGAAGAAAGCGGCAAAGTTAGAAGACGAACAGGCGATTTCCAAACGGGTGTTCGAAACTGCAAACGTAGGTGCTATCACTACCACGGGGGATGTGTTGAGGTAATTTTTTATGGATGATAATGAAAGGGTGCATCTGCCTACGCTAACGGTTTACGCTGGCGGGGCACCAGTGGAGGAAGATAAGATGAATATGAAGTCAGGTCAGTTAGCCCTTCGTGACAAATTCAGTAGGAATTTATTACAATGATTTCCAGAAAGAATGACAGAGGTCAAACTAACATGGGACATTGCTAGCAATGGTGTTTACTAGTTCCCGTTATTAACAATTCCCTTACCCCCTGTGGAGGTAAGTTATCGTTAGTAAGAATAAAGGGCACCTATTATTAACCTAGGTAAACTTACTAAGCTAGGCTAAGTAATTTTATTTAGTACCTTGTATTATATTAGAGTTAAGAAAGATGCTCTGAAGAGTTCCAGCTAAATCGCAAACAATGATCTAATATGATGCCAGGGCAAGGGCACTGTTCCGAGGTTCCAACCTGCACCCTCCTAGGAGGGTGCGGAATTAGGGTCAGAAATTAAATTAATACTGTTGGAACTGTCATAGCTAAACGCTGTATGGACGTCAACAACTTCCTATATATTATGTAGTCGTAAACACTACAGTTTTATTAAGACTCCTGCGTTTTACGTTAATAAATACATAGAAAACACTATCACAACATCATCAACAAAACACAAACGGATACAAATAAACAATATTTGTATCGTGCGAGGAACCAAATTCGCGACCATCGAAGTGACGCGGTATGCTAGACCATTGTTAGCGTTTAATATACCTAATAATTATTTATTTATTTATTTACATCACACTAAGCGAGCTTTACAGTCTCTCAATATCTTAGGAGCTTCTATACAAATACACACAATTATAAACACAAATTACTAATACATACACACTAATTACACAAGGAAAAAAAAAGAAAAATTATACCAAATCTTAATTTTACATACTACATACATAAATAATCTACTGCCATTCATACAATCCTACGAAACTCCAGCAAATTACAAGTAAATATGTCTAGATCTGGAAAGCGACTAACTACACCGTTGAGTAGACTCAACGGTGACTAACTACACCGTTGAGTAGACTCAACGCCAGAGAAATAGGAGCCTCTTTGGCCAGCTCTGTTCTTCTCCATCAAACAAGTTTCGTATTCGTGCTTGTACGTAATTATTGGACACTCTTATGGATACTGATATTAATACAGTACAATATTATGTTTCAGGTTTGCAGGAAGAATGATATCATCTCAAGACCTAGTGTTACTGTCTGTGAAGATAGAACCGGAGTCTACGCTAGTCATAGCGAACTGTCAGAATATGGCGGTCGCTTCATTACTAGCTAATGAAGTCGCTCAAGCATTCTCCAAATCATGAGGTCCAGATAGACAAGGCAAGAATATGGTACACGCGTCCATATTATCTATGCGGCATATAACTGAACAAAACAGTGTTTTTATTTAATTAAATAACTTAATTAAGGAAGTAAGTTCTGATACAAAATACGGAAATGTTAGTAGTGTTATCTACCAGTTTAACCTTGGAATTAAACAGTAAATCAGAAGTAAATGTATCGCCATGCTTCCCATGGTTTCTTCGGGATACCATCATGATGGGTGATGGATTTCTGGTGAATTCACAAATCTATAGGCTAAAGTTAATGTCACCCTTATTCTGTCATCCTCCACTGATGTTCTGCGTTTACCATTAGTGTAGTCGGGTTCACCGTTCCATATGTAAAGATATTTCCTTACTAATATTTGTTGTGATTGTTGTAGATGTTACGCCTTCACGCAAAAACTACTGAACCAATCATGTAACTGTTAGAATGAATATAGGATACTTAGGAAACTTTTTATTAAAAAAAATGTTTTTTATAATAAACAAAATATCAACATTTTGCTTCAGCGCCATCTAGCAGTCAGTAATGAAGTTATATATCAATTAAAATGATCTCCGCTACTTGGATTCAATGCGAGCGAAGCCGCAGATAAAAGCTAGTGTTTATATATAAAATCCTGTAAATTAAATAATAATATCAGACAATTTACACAGCGCCATCTGTATAATCAGATACATATATATTTTGTCATCAATCATACACATGAAACCCGTCAACATTGCAAGTAGAGCTGCTCTAAAGCGACGAAATGTCATAAATTATATCTAAAATACACTGATTTGGTTTATTGTCGTCGCTATGCATTGTTTATATATTATACTTTGCATTAGAATATCTTAATTGAACAAAATTGATATAATTTTAACCTTAGATTAAGACATGTTTAAAGAATTTTCAAGTCCGTTAAAATACTCTTGAGATTCTCTATTAAATATCTTATTTTTACTGTTAATCTTCAATTATTGAAATATATATATATATATATCAAAGTATAGTAATGTGTTTTACTTATGTACTGAGTTCATTTCCACTACAAGGCTTTAACTAATTAAAAAAATATATAAATACAATAATGAGACTGTCTGACTGTCGAGAGTGTCGAGAATTTACTGACCTGACTGAACTGAACTTACCTGTTCATATTATCATTCTCCACTGGTGCCGCGCCAGTGTTAACCGTCAGCGCAGGCGGGTGCACTATTCCATTATCATCCATAAAAAAAAAACAAAAACATCGATACAGGGCTATAGGGTGTAACGTGCGTTTTGTATAAAAAAAAATAGGGCTGAGTTATAAAAATAGTTTGCTAAATACATAATGTTTTAGACTGCTGCCCCACCCTGAAACTAGCTGTCACGGCAAACGTTGTTTTGCCTTAAAATAAAAAAAAACGGGTGTACTACCCCTAACATTTAGGGGGATGAAAAATAGATGTTGGTCGATTCTCAGACCTACTCAATACGCACACAAAATTTCATGAGAATCAGTCAAGCCGTTTCGGAGGAGTATGGGAACGAAAACTGTAACACAAGAATTTTATATATAAGATATATACGTTAGTCCTTAAGGTACATATAATATGGACCAATATTAAATAAATAATATTAAGTTGTCTGAAACAAATAAATGTAGCTTACAAAGTAAGCTGCTTGGCCGAAGTAATAACCACCTAAACGACTTTGCATAGTCTGTCGTGGGACGTCTTAGTAAAGTTAAAATGGTAAAAAAAATCAAGTGAGATTTAACATCCTGTATTATTGAATAAAGTAGGTATAGGTACATATTTAATAGTTTTAATACTAAACACATCTCTTAAAAACGCACCGGTCACAATTCGAGAAATAAAAATGATTTCAATTTATTAATAACAAATCAAAATTTATTATTGACTAATAATTATAGTAAATTGATCATTACGATTCTGTAATGATTATATTATATTATACATGCTCTTTATTTTATGCAAGAATGAATAAAAGCAAAATTAAATATTGCATTTATAAGTTAACGCTGAGTAATCCACACAGGGCCATCTAGTCCCAAGTTAAGCAGAGTTTTTATTATAGGTACTAGACCACTTATATAAATAGATTTTTTTTAAATAAATACATAATATGTATAGAAAACACTCGGATACTCGTAAGACAAATATTTGCACCGTGCGAGATATCGAACTCAGGACCATTGGAGAGTACAGCTGTACTAAACCGCTAGACCACCAAGGCCGTGTGGATTGAAATACCATGTCTGTATAATATTCATTTAAATCTTTTACAAACGACTTATTAGCAAACTGTGTCATATACTTAATGAGTTCAGACTTTTCAGACAGAAAGCGTAATATAATTTACAATTTATATTATAATATTATTAAAAATGTGTGTACTTTAATAATTTATTTATTGCGATTTCTAAAGATAAAATACATTCTCGTCGTATTTAAAAAACAAACATTCCATGTGTATACATATATAAAATAAATAAATACAAGCAATTCTAACAATGTTACAATGTAAATTTGATTTGAGAAGTTTCTTCTTTGTTTTCAAGATGTTACAGCACAAACAAGGAAATTATAATTACAATTAACATGAGTAAATTTCAAAATATATTTAGATCATGTATTTATAACACTCGGGCACCAACATTTTTCAATTTTTACATTGGATTTATTAATCTTTATATTGAAAATTATAGGTTTTTAGTGTGTCGAACAGTAATAAACACGAATAATTTTATAGTAAATGAAGCATTTAAGTCTGATCTGATTAACTTAATATATTAAACGATCGATAAAAAAGTTAAAAACTCGGTAGTCTTGCACATTGCGATCTTTCGGGCACTCTCAGTTCAGTTCGCATCTCTTCAGCTGCCACCGCTAACCTCGAGCAACCAGAGGTTTTGAACACGATTTGTTCGACACTATTAATCGCTACTACGAAATAAAAACCATTTTGAGTTACCTGAGTGAGTTGCGTTAATTTAGAACTGAGGTAGCCTATACATGGTATTTTAAAGAGTCAAAGATCGCTTATAACGGACTAGTTCAGTCACGAACTACACATGACTGCAAAATTAGATTTTAATCAGTTTTAAATGAAACCTATTAGCTGAGTTACACAATTAAGCTGTAGATTTTTTAAAGTTACTTTCTAAAACAGAGTGGAGTTGTTTATTGTTAATTAAATCACTTTCACTTATTCACTAATAGAGTCCTGTCTTATAACACTACTGTTGGGGATAATGTGCCCAAGTAGGGGCCATCCCTGGCATCCCGAGGTTGTAAGTGGGATTGCAAGGCATTGAGATTAGTCTTGGCCTCTTACTAGGGTCGTCGTGTTGACTCCTACTGATATTGATATCTTGGGGCTGATGATGCTGCTGTGTGCTCGGCTGAGCTTGGGCAGTATTATTGTAACCCTCCAATAACCTGTCCTTCTTCGACATTCGTTTCTTAGGCGGTGTACTTTCTGGCAGCACTCTACGTTCGTTCCATAACCTTTCAACTAAACCGTTCCTCGCTTGCAGCCCGTTCTGGTCGTCTACTTGCTTCCGAGGTATTGGTCCACTGGCAACCTTCTGTTTCATAGCTTCTAAACGTTCTTCGGTCTGTGTCATGGGTATAACTGGGAGTCCGTACCTGTTACAAATGTTATGGAGTACACAGCAAGCTACAATGATCGTAGTGACGGATGGTGGATCGAATTGCTTGTTACATGTGGCTTGTAAACATTTCCATCTGCTCTTCAGGTGCTTTATAGTATCTGTGGCCGCAGTGAGTGTTTGACTGTGCATGTTTGTGTAATATTTGCCAGGGGAGACTGGAGATTTCTTGGTTATTTTCGGTATGGGGGTCATGATGAAACGTTTCTGTGTGTAGTATGGACCACCTGTAAGAATTTGATACAAACTCAACTTTATTGATGACTTCTATCTTCAACTTTCGTGTGCAATATTTGCCAATTCTGATCCGATTTTGACGATTATTTTTATTGTTCACATAGTATAATTATGTCACAAATAAAACCTCTTTATTCTATTTAATTTATCATACTAACATGACTACAAATCTCATTATTAAATTCGTGTGGCAACTAAATTTAATTCAAAAGTCCTCTCAACTTTTAATATAATTTTTTGTACAACTTACACTGCCAAGTCCTACCGGCTAAAAACCTGACGGTTATTCCGCCCAACATCGCCATGGCCATGGGATCACTATCGCATTCTCTACGAGGCCCCGGACGATCCTGACAGTAAACTTTTAAAAAAAAAAAAAGGGCTACGAAATATACCTCTATGTAGGTCGCAGTGTGAAGTCTAATTAAACGTGATTAGCCCAAACCCCTTAAGAGAAAAAAAAATACCAATAAGCCAGAGAAAATAAATACCAATGAGCCAGCACTGCTCTCCAGAGTGGTTGAGGCTCTCGAGGTCGATGCGTACGGCGTGTCGGTTCAATATAGCATCGTTGGACAGAGATCCGCCCGCGCTCGCGTCCACACTCAGTATGTTTAGATCACTGTCGCATATCTGAGGAGATTACATCATATTTAGAAAGAAATAGAAAAATATATTATTTGGCGCATACAAAACATTCACATCAATTCGTTCATTCCAATTCATATTACGAGATTATATATAATAAGTATATATTACAAGGGTAGTATTATAATTAACCAATAAGCATTAATTAAATTAGTTTCACTCTCATTAAATTTAAATATTTTATATTGCAAAAGCTATATTACTTTAAGGTTTCATCAAAATCCGTTCAGTAGTTTTTGCGTGAAGTAACGGACTAACAGTTAAGTTTCGGATAATATCAGACAGTGGCGGAACCTAATTGAGACACGTTATGTATCTATTTTATTAGCTATTTATATTTTAGTTTTGAAATTCCTTAAAAAAATAATATCCGATACCGAAATGATCCGAAACTAACCAATAATCCGAAAGTATTATATAATAAGTATATATTACAAGCGTAGTATCATAATTAACTAGCAGTGCCCATGGTTTCAAACGCATTTAATTTCAATATAAAATATAGCGCTATATGACTAAGGTTACATCAAAATCCGTTCAGTAGTTTTTGCGTGAAGTGACCGACTAACCAAATACGATATAAGTTTCGGATAATATCGGACAGTGGCGGAGCCTAATTGAGACACGTTATGTAAGTATTTTATTAGCTATTTGTATTTTACTTTTGAAATTTCTTAAAAAAATAATATCCGTAACCGAAATGATCCGAAACTAACCGATAATCCGAAATTATTTCATATCCCCATCCGCATATATCCATATCTGAAACTTCATATACATAACATCCCTAGTTTTAAATATTTACAATTTATACTTACAACTTGCACTTTTTTCGAGTGGTAGGACTTGTTGAAGTGACTCTTCTGATCGTCGTCGGGCCGCGCGATGGGCACGTGTGTACAGTCTATACAGCCGACCACATTCGGCATGCCGTATTTCACGTAAAACCTGGAAACAAGAATAGGTTGCATTTATAAATCGTAATGCAAACGGAAATTCATATATATTAAAATAAAAATGAAACCGGGTGTTGTCTGTATGTAGAAGAGTTATAAAAAATATTATTGAATTTTAAAGTTTTGTATTTTTTTCATTCCAGTATACAGCTACAGCTGTATGGTCTAATAATCTTTGCCGGTTCTAACATTAAAGAGATGGACGAATTAGAGAAATAAGGATGTTACGGAAGGAAGGATGGACTGTATTAAGGCTTTGTAAACCAAACTACTAAGTACTAAACATTGATAGAAACAAACTGCAAGCATATTTTATAATACTATTCAAAACAATCTGCAGAAGCATAAAAGATAAAGAATAAAAATAAATTACAACACTATATGAATGCATTAAAATGTTTTAACAATTAACCGACTTCAAAAAATGAGGACCTCAATTCAACTGTATTTTTTTAAATTGCATTCGCAAAGAGCAGACGTTAATACTTTAATAGCAGTGACCTCGCGTGGTGTAGTACAAGCTGTAAGTACTCATCTAGAGGTGGCTAGTCTTGTATCACTTGAGAGTGCCATCCAGTTAGGAAGTCGAGGAGTAACTACACAGCAGTGCTCAGCTCTGACAAGCTAATACAATTGCGAGTCCAGATGGTTATGTTACATCATATATTTAACTATATCTGTCGGATCTATCGGGTTTATAAACACAACTCCTCCCGAATTGCTGGATGGATTTATACACACAAAATCCCAAATATATAATACAAGAATAATAATAAAGCCTTTATCCAGATCTGGTTTTTTTTCACATACATTATTTACAATATATACATATATATCTATTTGCTAACAAGCATAGGCCTACTCCAATTTTAACTACATCTATACACTTGAAAATAAATAATACTGCTAATGAACAATATTTAAAGTTATTTAAAAAAGCAACACAAAAATTACTTGCTCATTCTTCTTGTGAGTTCTGCAATAAGTGGTAGAATAATAAAAACATGACTATTCAAAAGTGGGCATTAAGTTTATTTCAATAAAGCTTATTTTTATTTCTACACATGTACAATAAAAAACATTAATTAAAGGACCAACCTGGCTTTGATAATATCCCTCTCATTTCTCAAATGTGGAAAATGTATATATTTTTTCACAATTGTGGGATGGTTCATTGCCTCGGTGACTTGCTGTACTGCGGTGCTAACAAAGTACTGTGTGATGCTGGGGTCAGTTTTACCCCCTATAGACTTCTGGTACTTTCCTGTAGCATAGAATGATAGAGCTGCCATGACCTGCAAACATTTGCTTGAATTCAGTTCCAAATTTAAAAGATTAACCAATCCAATATATTCTATATGTTAGTAGTGTTCCCAATCTGAATTAATTGGGACAGTAGTAAAACAGATGTTTAAATAATTTGGATTTTGAAATGGTCTATTATAAAGGAATTATGTAAAACATTTAAAGTATAATTATTTATTTTATGTAAATTAAGGACATTGAGATTGAATCAAGATGTTCAAGAAGAATTTAGAGAGAAATAGACGGCATACTTTTGAGTTGATATTATTATGTTAATATTAAATCAAGCGAGTTTAATCGTTTATGACCTAACAAGTATGTAACAGTTGATGAGTATCTCACCACTAATCTACATTGTGGCAATATAAGGCATAACAATTTTATATATAACTGGACTGTACGCCTATTTAAAAAAGAAAAAAAATATTAAACAATGAAGTCTTGAAAGCCATAATAAAAAAATACTTAGAGCGGGCTGCATGGTCTACAAACCTTTGCCTGCCTACATGGCGAATTAAAAAAACATCAACAACAACACTTATTATATGAGAAGCTTATGTACATTATATTATGGTTTGTATTAAAAGTAAAATCATGTAAAATATCTACAATATTAAATACTCTAAATATCAATATCGATATCGGTATTTATAATCAAGAATAAAATCCATTTATTTTCTTACTAGCAAACACGTTGATCGCAAAAAGATATAATACAAATAACCGGGTATTCTCACCTTGCTCTCTACTGAAAACTCGATAGATTTTGTTGAATCTGGCATCACAGGCTTTAGCTCTTCACATAGATTCCTAGCCAGCTCCTTCGACAGTCTGTACGACTCTATAAACGCGGGATCAGCCAAGTCGAAGGGGTCACACTCCTCACGACCTTTTGGAATCCTTTTTTCGGGACTCTTTGCTTTCTCTACGGGCCTCGGCTCCTGCTGCTTTTGTGTGTGAGAAGAATCCCATTTTAGAAGCTCAAATATCTCTGGTTCTTCGTCCACAACCGATATATAACCCTCCTCTGGGGGTTTATCGGCCATTATTTAATGTTTTATTTTGTTTTTGTATAAATGGTAGCTTGGGATGCAGATGTGACAAGGGAAAACGACATTTAATTTTAAAGTTGCCAGATATGAAAAACTCGTATATAGAGTAGACAAGTAAATAATAAAACGAGTCTCCACAGATAATTCCGATTAGAATTTTACAACTAATATGTCGGGGGTTTAATAAAGGTGTTATAATAGGATGCAAACTACGATATTGTATCGTAGTTTTCATCCAATTATAATACCCGAACGATTCGATGATGTTGGGTTTATTACGAAGTGTTTAAGTAAAGTATCACCTAAGCAAGTAATCACCACGTTCATTTCACAAAAGCGTAACATATTGTATTAATACAAAACAAATGGTTTTAAAAGTAGCTTGAAAATCGCATTTAAATCGGATTCTTATATTAGAGGGCAACACAAATGTACGGAAAAATTATCATACTTATTAGTTTTCTACCTCGATAATACAACTACAAAGTGTATTAACTGTTTCTTAAAAGAATTATGTTAATATTATTTGAATTTATAAGTAAATATAATATATTTTTAATTTTTTTTTATTGTTGAATATCATATCATGTAATCAAATAAGTATGTAATTGTTAGATTTATTAATAAATATATTAATAATAATAAATAATCCCAGACAATTAACACAGCGCCACACGCAGCGTTAGTCTCACGGAAAGCATAGCTTGTGGTATGGGTAATAAAGAACTGATATTCGTTTTTTTTTTGTAAATACATAAATAATACACTTAGAATATTTGCATGCCTACTGAAAAAAGGCATATGCGCAGCACTGCTTGCTAATGTCAATGTGGCTTAATGTTTATTGAGTATATTATTGAATCCATTGAGTCCATTTGTAATATTAAAATAACCCTTTTTTACTACATGCGTATGAATATAAATATACACAAAAGTGAAACAGAAATAATACGTTTTTACAGAAATGTGTTTGTCTGAGTCACAACAAGAGAATGTACTAATGACATATTGACTTCCAATCCTTCTGCAACCAAAAAGCCAAACAATGGCTAGGGGTATCAAAAGGCCCCATAGTTGGCAAAAAGGACACAAAATGGTGACATTAGGGAGATTTTGCATATCAAGAAAACCCTCTTCAAGCAATGGCAAACAACAAAAGATGAATCCGATCGCAAAGCATATAAGGACGCTAAGAAGAATGCAAAACGAGCCGTAGCACAAGCGATGACTTCTACGCCAAATTGACGAACGACAAAGAAATCTTTAGCAAAACAGCGCCACAGAGACAGCAGGGATACAAAGACCATTAAATACATAAAAAACGAACAAGGCCTACTCCTCACATCAAACAAAGATATCAACGAACGATTTTACTTCTTAACGAAACATTCCCAAGTGAAGATCTCTACGAAATACCTGCTACGGAAGGCCCGATTTTATTTCACTCGGCGATTAAACACATGGCTAACAGCAAAGCTTGGGCCCGATGATATCCCTGTTGAACTGTGGAAGAAATAGGAGGTACCGGTATAATGTTCCTGACAAAACTCTTCAACAGAATTCTCATTGACGGAATGCCCGATGACTGGAGAAGGAGTCTCCTGATCCCGTTTTATAAGAACAAGGGTGACATCAGACTGTGTGGAAATTACAGAGCTATAAAGCTCATATCACACTCCTTCAAAATATGGGAAAAAGTCATTAACAGCAGACTACTCCAGCTTACCAAAGTGACTGATAATCAATGTGGTTTCATCGCAGGAAGGTCAACTACTGATGCCATACATTCGATCAGAATTCTGATGGAAAAATATAGAGAAAGCCAAACCGATCTACACATGGTATTCATCGACTTGGAAAAAGCTTTCGACCGTGTACCAAGAGAGCTTATTTGGCATGCCCTGAGGGCACAAAAAGTACCGGAGCACTATATAATTTTGGTAAAGGACATGTACCACAACGTTAAAACTAAAGTCTGGAATAAGTGATGAGTTCGATGTGACGGTCGGAGTCCATCAAGGTTCAGCATTAAGTCCCCTGCTCTTCAACCTCGTAATAAATTACCTCACGTCGGAATTACAGCGTTCTCCACCCTGGGATATTCTCTATGCTGATGACATCATACTCATCAGTGAAGATCCCAATAACCTACAGCAAAGGTTGGAAGACTGGAGAGGAGCACTCGAAAGAGCTGGACTGCGAGTTAGTAGAGAGAAAACCGAGCACATGCACTGCAATTTCAGTGGCACCAACAGCAGAAACACCATTTATCTGCAGGATGCTCCAATAAAGGAAACCGACCGATTCAAATACCTCGGTTCGATTATATGTAGTGATGGGACAATAGATGCAGATATAACTCACCACATAAATACCGGGTGGATGAAATGGAGGGGCTCTCTGGGGTACTCTGCGATAGAAGAATGCCCATTCGCACCAAGGGCAGAGTATATAAAGCGGCAGTGCGTGCGGCCATGACGTACGGCTCTGAATGCTGGGCGCTGAAAAAGCACCAAGAGCAGAAACTCAATGTCGCAGAAATGAGAATGCTAAGATGGGCTGGTGGCATAACAATGGTGGATCACATCAAAAACATCCACGTTCGAGGTAGTTTTAAGGTGACTCCCATACAGGAGAAGATGTTAGAGAGCCGCCTAAGGTGGTACGGTCATGTCATGCGGCGACCATCAGACCACATGACAAGAACAGTGCTTGACATAAGTACCCAGCCCAGAAGACGCGGCAGACCCCGTCTCACATGGATGTCCGTTATTGAGAGGGATATAAAAAGCGCCAAAATAACATCCCAGACGACCCAGGACAGAATGTCCTGGCGAAGACTGACCAGACGGGCCGACCCCAAATAAATGGGACCAAGGCCAGGCTAAAGAAGAAAGAAGAAAGAAGTAAATATAATATATTTTTAATTTTTTTTTTATTGTTGAATATCATATGTAATCAAATAAGTCCTTCCGCGGGTTTGAAGTGCCGTCTGCACTCGCCCCCTATCGTCCGGTGAAGCTGCAAAGGCCAGTTACGGCCAACAGCATCAGAGTAGTCGGAAAAATAAAAGAATAAAGCAGTGACTGGATACGGGGAGATATCGCCTTAGTTGTGCCTTAATTCAACGGCAGCCATCAGTTTCTTTGCCAGCGGTCTAGCGGTTTAGTACACCGCTTTATGCCGATGGTCGCTGGTTCTGTTCCTCGCATGATACAAGCATTTATATCCATGATAATGATTGTTTCTATCGGTCTGGATGTTGTCTATGTATATTATTTCGTCTCTTGTGTACTCTTTATTCATTACTATACGATCCTAACTCTCCCGAGTATCTTAATACCAAATTTCATTTTCATGGGGACATCTCTTATCGTAACCTTCGTCCGTCTAGGAATTTACTTCTCCACGTTCCTGCTCATCGTACGAGCTTCATTTCTAAATCTTTCACTTTACAGGGCATTAAACACTGGAACGAGTTACCCCTTGACATTAAGTCCAGCTCTTCAAAATTCACATTCAAATCCAAATTACGCAAACACCTTTCCCAGAACTAGTGTAGGCTCCTGTTATCCTTGTAGTATTATTCCTCCATATTGATTTTGAAGTAATTTTGTAGGTCACTATTTTTATATTTATACACACTATTAATATTTATATATTTATTTAATTTCCAAATTACAAAACTTATCAGGAGACATATTTTTCCTATTACAAAAACCCGACATCAACCAGAGAGATTAATTCTACATCAAACATAGAGTAATAAAGTTGCCATATTCATAAATGTGTGGATTGCTTTCTCAACACTCCACCCAACCACCTCTATGTATCTGAATTTCCCTGTTGATTTGTATAAATTTATAATTCTATGTGTATTTGTATGTATGTATGTAGGTACGTACGTGTACGTAGTTATATTTATATATGTATAATTATTTATTCATATTATGTATTATAGTTTATAAGTATATTCGCATATGTATTTATATTTAATCATATTAAAGTGATCTTCTTATTATTTTATTTTTTTTAGATTTGAATTTCAATTTGTTAATGCACCGCCAACATGAATCTCTGTTTGCCCAATGGTTGACTGGGAGAAAATGCCTCGAGGTGTTAAGTCCGCCATGTGTACCTTTATTTATGTATTTGTGCATTAAAGTTTTAATAAATAAATAAATAAATAAATTATTTATGTATTTACAAAAAAAATCTACGTATTTATATCAGTTGTCTAGTACCCATAACAACAAATAAGCGCTGTTTACATTGGGACTGTAAGAAACCCTAATTATGATGACGACTTAGGCTTTGAAGCCGGCTACCGGAAGAGAAACCCCAAGTAGCGCCCGTAACTTGTGACACGGGTGTAGGTTTAAAAGGCCCTTTTAGAATGCATTAACACTCACCTTCACTTGCAGCTTCCCCCCAGGCCCAACTAAGCCCGAGATAAACCCATTCCTAATACAATTCACTTTAGTATCCAAAGTACAACCGGCAAACTCTGTGCTCGTCGACTGAATGTCGCGGCTCACCCAACGAAAGAGAATTATTCAACTACCGACCTCCGTATTTATAGACCGAAGTCAATGTAGTAGGGCGGTCTAAAAATACTAGATGGCGCTATTTACAATATTTGTACTAATCTTTACATTGAGTACTTCATTAGTACTAAACACAAACTACCTTCTTTTAATATCTTTTTAAAATATCGGACTTTTTCTACTATATGGATGTGAACTCTAACAGGACTAAATTATGTTATTTATTTATTTACTAATATAAAATAAATGAACAATTGGCGAACTGAATACCTACCTTATGGCATTCTCTACCAACTAACCATTGGGTTATAACAGAAAACGATTGAAGGGCTGTTCTCGTACCTAATAGGAATAAGCATACTATTTAACTAACTGAGGTTGTGTGAATTGTCCATAAATATTATTACTATTATTTATTATAATTGAAGAACTTAAACTATGGAATTTTATCATATAAATGGTGCCCAATATTTAGAAGTTGACTCTCGATAACCAATACAACTATGATCACAATGGTATAGATGATTACAGCTCACACTAGGTCA